TACCACCAAGATCTGCAGCGATCGGGAGCTCCACGCGCGCTCACGCGCACGCTTCGATGGATCCCACCGCGCCCTCCTACTCGCACCGGCTCACCAGCAGCCGGGTGCGGCCGGGTATAGGTCACGCGCTTGAGCGCCATCCATTTTCAGGGCTAATTGGTTCGGCAGGTGAGTTGTAACACACTCCTTAGCGGATTTCGACTTCCATGACCACCGTCCTGCTGTCTTAATCAATCAACACCCTTTGTGGGATCTAGGTTAGCGCGTAGTTAGGCACCGTAACCCGGCTTTCGGTTCATCCCGCCTCGCCAGTTCTGCTTACCAAAAATGGCCCACTTGGCACTCATGTTGGTGGGGTCAGCCAGCACCCCTGAAAGCCAGCCACAATTAAGATGGCAGCCCTCCTCGCCCGTTTAAAGTTTGAGAGTCGGTCGAGGGAGCTTCTCCCTCGAGCCCGCCAATCATTCGCTTTACCAGACGTAACCACGTATCGAGCACCAGCTATCCTGAGGGAAACTTCGGAGGGAACCAGCTACCAGATTGCTTTTCGATTAGGCTTGAGCGCATGCATACATGGGTTTATAATAGAGATCACATACAAAGAAGGTAAATTGTCCTAACCTATCTACAGCCTTTATTAGATAACAAGAGATACATTTTTAGAATTCAGCACCACCCGTCACAATATCACATGGGGCAGGCGCATGGTTGCCCGACCACTCAAAGGAACGCTCTCCAGGGATGATGCCAGGCTGCCCTTTGGCTTTTTCAGCCAGGTTGAGGCGATGACGGATAAGAACAGCCTGGGACCGCTGCTGCGTCACACCAATGCATTGAGCAATGCTCCGGCCGAGGGTGGACTTTAGGTCAGTCAGATTGCCTGACTGCCTGCCGATACGCTTGGATGTAGTTGCCGCAATGTCCGGAATACACTCCTTGAAGCTCGCCGACATTCCCCCATAGATCACCATTGCCAGCGGGATGACCTTGGTAGTCGCTGCCACCGTCGTCCCTCCCTCAGCCACCGCCTTAGCGTAAGTGGCCCTCTTCCGTCGACACGCTTCCAGCAAGGCAGCCCCCGGCTTTGTCCCCGGACAGTTGGCGTTGTTGTTGTGGGGATCTGCCACAACCACATCCATGATCCAGGTCTTGCCGCTCTCCGCATGGTAACTGACCACATCTGGTATCGTTCCCGTGCCGAAAACGGCCTTGTCCTCTACAGTTGTGCGCATCCCAACTCCCGGCAAAGAAGGGCCGTGCAGTTGACGATCGCATCATGCGCGATGGACGGGACGTATCCGGTCGCGCATCGAAGAGCGTGGCCAGGTGCGTACACTTCCGAGAACTTTGCGCCACAGGAGCATTTCTCCGTTTGCAGCACGTGCGGGATGTCCCGCCCCAAACGAAGATTTGCAGCAATCGCCCAGTCGTCGCTGGACATGCGGAGATCGGGTCGCGAGGGCAGAGCTGTCACCCAAGCACCTGCATTTAGAAGTTGAAGACTCGTCAAGCGGGCCTTGTGCTTTGGTCGGCGTAGCATATGTCGGACCTCCCGCATCACCGTAATCTGAAGCTCACGAGCCAGAACCGTGAAGGTGCCACCCTCCAGGGCCTTCTCCCCCACCTCATGCCACGATGGGAGTTTCTTCCGGAACTCCTCTGGTAGACGCGACAATGCCGCTCCAGCCTCCTCAAAGACCGGTGGGAACACATCCTCTTTGGAAAACTCGCCAGGATGCTCTTGCCACCAATCTGAAAGAAGGACCACAGGTTACCCGCAACGCTCAGCAGGCTGACCACGTAAGCCAAGTCCGCCATCCGCGCCGCCGACTGTATCCCGAAGCCACCCAACCGCTCCGGTAGGGAGATCTGGAGTCGCGCCGCCTCGTTAACCTTGCCGCCAGTCATCAGGGACTCATCATCAAGAATTTTAGAGAAGCACGTGACGAGAGAGGTATCCCAGGCCTTAAGTGCCTCCAAGAGCTTAGGGGTCGGCGGTGTAGTGCGGCAAATGAAGTTTGACCGCGCCAAAACTGATCCCGCAAGAATCCTGGAGGCTGTCTGAGCGTCGCCGATACCTGGCAATGCCGCCAAGACCGGCTCGTCAGACCCCCGTTTCGCCTTGACTGCTGCCTCGACAAAAGCGGAACCGCCAACCGGGGACCCCACCACCACAAGTCCATCCTTAACCTCCTCCATGCTGTAGAGCGGGTTGCCCTGCGTCGGCTGAGGCCCGCTCGGCGAATACCACTCGCACTTCACCACCGAAGTCTGCATGCCAGAACACTCCAACTCGCTCTGCAGCGTCGTGTAGGCCTTGCCCACCGCCTTGATATCCCCCATCACATAGGTATCGTCGGCATAGCTGACCACGAAGACATCCAGGTGCTGCGCCTTCATGCGCTCCAAGGCCGGCTGCTGCGCCAGAGCGTAGAGGAAGGAACCCAACGGGTCCCCCTGCCGCACCCCCGTCCGTGACCATAGGGTGTGCCGTGTTGTGTCTGCTCGATAAAGCAACGAAGATGGCGCTCCATACAGTGAAAGCAGGAAGGGGACCATTGGTGCAAACGGCCCCTTGACCAGTTCGTCGAACAAAACTATGCGGCAGATTGTATTAAAGGCGTTGGCGACATCGATCTGCAGTATCACCCACTCGGGGTTGGCTCGCCGCCCTGCACGGATCCCATGAATCATGGTCTCGCCACCAAAACGAGCCCCTGCCCCGAACTGCCCCTTGGGTTGCAGATGCCGTGTGATAACGTCATGGAAATCGATGGAGAAGCACCGTGCCACGAGGTGGGGGAACACCTCGCCGACTGCAATAGGACGAACACCTCCCCCTGGTTTAGCGAGCGCCACCAGCGTGCTTGCAGTCCACAAAGTGGCGATCCCCGGACCGACCTCCCCTCGCGCCGCGTGCTGAAGCCACCCTCCTAGAAGCCTGATGTCATCTGGGTGGGTGAACATCTCGCGGAGGAAGTCCATGCGCCACCCCGTCGGTCCTCCTGCTGACCCTCGTGGGCTTTCGCGAAGGGCCCGGAGAAGGACCTTCGTCTTCAGGGTCCATTTTGTTGGCTTGGCCGGAGACGCGAGGATGCACTTCCCTTCCTCATCGATCCGTGGAAGGTTGGAGTCTGGATGCTTGGCCTCCAGGGCCAAAAGTGTCTCCTTTGTCGCTGGTGCAAGCTCCGCGGCCACCAGCGCCTCTGCTGCTCGCGACAGCTCCGCAATCTGGGCAAACTGAATGCTCCGACGAGTCCGCGCATCCTCAGGGCCGGTCCCAGCCCGACTAGTCCGGACACGGCTAGCAACTGTGTTGATGGACGCCAACCCCCTCTCGTACAAGGTCGACCACTCCCCTCGTTTGAAGAGGTGCAGCAAACCCCGCACCTGCTTCCAGTGTCCAACATCGCCAAAAATAGCTGCAGTAGACAAGCACAGCTGAGGGAACACACCCAAGAGGGTACCCGCCGCGAGATGCTTTGGGTCCTCCTTCAGCTTCCGTAGTAATGGCCGAACACATGCCACTGTGAGGGCGCGACGCCGAAAGGGGATATGACGCAGAACCGGCAGCATCGCTCCCTTCTCCCTGACGAAAAGTGACCAGTCCAGCTGCATGGCGGACTCCTAGTAGGCATCACCAAACTCGACCTCCGGTGGGACATCAGCCTTCCGGAGTTCCGCCTTAGTCATGTCACGTAACTCCGCCTCGTGAACGGCGTCACGCGCGGCACAGCCATTCTTGCGATACGTATGGTTGTTGCGCGTCCTGCGGGACCAGAACTTGTTGCCGCAGATATTGCAGAGAAACCCCTTAGGGAGGGTTGCTTGGCCTCCCTGGCTGATGGCACTAGAATCCGTCTGGTCTAAGGCGGAGGCGACGCCTCCGTGGGAAGATGCAGACCCGTCCTCTGATCCTGAATCGGCGAAACGTGGCTGCTTAACCTGAGCAGTTTTCCGAACTCCGGCCTGGGACCGATCCTGGGGGCCGACCTCCCATTTGCCATCACGACCCGTATCCTTTGCTTCCCCTGCCCGAGCATTCAAACGTGGGCGAGATGGGCCCGGAGCAGGTGTCGGAGCCCCTGTCGCCACCACCGGAGTCGCGGCTACCGGAGACTCCTGCTGTGGGGTAACTGGAGACGTTTGAACTGGAGGCGTAGCAGGAGCCGCGCCCGAAGATGCAGTGGCTGTCGAAGCCGAAGGAGCCGCAGTCCGAGACTTCTTCTTTTTCTTGGCCTTGCCCTTCTTCTTCTGGGACTTAACCCCTTCAGCAAGCGCAGTTGGCGAGTCCCGCGTTGCGTCCGGGGCTGAAGTCCCGTCGGGTGGGTTCGACGAAGATGTCGAGTCGTCAGGTTGCTGGTCCGATGCTGGCGCGCCAGAACCAATAGCTTTAGGCTTTTCCAGGCCGGGAGCGAGGGGGGGGATGGCGCCCTTCCCCTTCTCCACAATGCCTTTCCTCTTGGCCTTCCCCTTGGCCTTCACCGCGGGGTCCTGCGACCGGAGCTTGAACTTCCCCTACCGGTGGTTCGACAAGCGGCGAACTTGCCTCATCGCCAGCAGCGTCAGTCATCTCCTGGTCCTTGGCTTCCAATCCTGGAGCAGACCCCCCAAGCTGAGCGGACAGAGCGTCCAACGAGTTTGAGAGCCGGTCCATTCTTTCCGACAAGGTCCCCACCACATGCATGACAGCGGGTGGGACCACGCAGGGGGGCTGAGCATCCCCACGCTCATGAGCAACTGGCAGTACCCCCATGTCCGTATCCGGCCCAGCGGAGACCGTGTGCCTCGCAGTGACGATGGATGGAGGGGCCGGGGGGGGTGGAACAGCCACCACTTGCTGAAGGTGGGGCTGAGCCCGCACCAGGAAAACCACCATAGGACCAGCCGATGCGGATGGGGCTGGATCTGGAGGAGCTGGGAGTGCCGCTAGAGGGGCGGACCCCCCCGGCAATACCCCTAGTCCCTGCAGATGCAGCACTTTCCGCACAGCGGTCTCGACCAGATTTGACGGGGAACAATGGTGTTTTTTCATAATTTTACGTTCCCAAAGGAGGGAGTGACACCGGCCACACTTCCCAGGCACCGCAGGGTGACCAGAGGAATGGGTGGAGTCGCTGCTCGCAGGTACGACCTCCTTCCGTTCGCCTGCTGTGAATCCCTGGAAGGCGGGCGCAGGTTGGCTCAGAAGGACCTCCCCCCCTTTGAAAGGATTCTCTGGGACCACAAGAGCTGTCTCGGGGACTTCGAGAGCGTTCTCAAGATCTTCAAGAACCTCCGCGGGGGGTGAAGACAGTCCCGATTTGTTGAGTACAGGCGGGAGGAACACAATCTTCACGGGGCTCGGTTTCTCCATCTCTGCGAGTTCTTTCGTCTCAGCTGGTTCTTTCCCCTTTTTACGTTTTTGTCCTGTGGCCACAGGCCCCCCCTTGTTGCTCGATGCCGACGGATAGTCGATCCTCAGTATGGTGGAAGCCACACCAATGCCGACTGAGGGTTGCCTCGTAGGGGTGTCAGCAGGGTCGGGGCTTGGGCTGGGGCGTTGCTTCTTCGCTGGAGGCACCGTCAGAGCTAACGTCTCCCTAGGAGACCGGCTCGCAACACTAATGCCCTTCCCCCTGAGCCCCCTTTCGCCTTACGGCTACCGGGAGGCGTCCCAGTCGGTTTGGGGCGCAACCCTTTCTCCTCGTGGGTCCCAGATTGTGCCACGGCCGCTGGCTCCGCGTCAGTTAACCGCGCCGCAGAGTGCTTACGCTTGGCCATGGTCCGGGGCAGACTAGTAGTGCGAAGATCTCTCCTCGCAGAGCGCTCTCTCTTAAGCCTCCTAGCACGAGCTAGAAGACCCACCACCATATAGTGTCTGCACTTCCCACTATTCATGGTTCGCTGCGGATTGGCTGACTTCAGACGGATTGTTACCATACCCCGGGTGTAGCTGAAGGCTTCCCAGGCCACGAGCGCACGCGTCCGCTTGGTACCGAATGAACCGGAGCTTTTCCCGCAGTAAGGTGGTGTCGCAAGGCGTGGAAGCCTCACTATCCCTTAGGCCGACTCAAGGACGGCACCTTCATCAGAAGGCGGATGGCACCCGGTATCCGCTAAATCACCTTGTCCAGCATAGCTCTTCAGGATGGTTTGGTTTGCGTGGTAGACTCGATGGCATGAAACCCTTTTGCACCCCGCTCCTTTACGGCCGAAGCCGCTTTTGGCTAGTCGGGTGTGGTCTTGAAGAGTCAGCAAGCAAATGTGTGTTAATGAGAGTGTTTTTTTGAGAGCTGAGCGGCCGAAGCCGAGCTTGAGTGTGAGCAATGAGAGCAAGGTCGGCTTATTAGGCCTACTGGAGTGGATGAACTAGCTACCAGATGGTTCGATTAGTCTTTCGCCCCTATACCCAAGTCTGACAAACGATTTGCACGTCAGTAGCGTTGCGGGCCTCCACCAGAGTTTCCTCTGGCTTCGCCCTGCTCAGGCATAGTTCACCATTTTCGGGTCCCAATGCGACTACTCAACGCACCCCGGGCGCCGAGGCCCCCGGGGCGGTCCGTGGTGCGGGCAGCACGAGGCCGCCTTCTCACGGGTCGCCTTCACTATCACCATTGTGGTTTCCAACCCATTGGCTCGCAGCCGCGTTGGCCTCCTTGGTCCGTGTTTCAAGACGGGTCGCATCAGCCCGTTTTGCCAGCGCCGACCCGTGAGGGTCATCCTCGGTCTCCGCCGCGGTGGGAGCGAGCTCCTTTTCCCGCGGCATCGACCGGCGCTGCGTACCTCCGGGCCCCGCGCGAACGGGGCCCGCAGGTTTGATTGGGCTCGGCCGAGGCCTCAGGCGCAACATGCGTTCAAAGTTTTGATGATTCACGGATTTTTGCAATTCGCATTACGTATCGAATTTCGCTGCGTTCTTCATCGAGCCAGGTTCCAAGATATCCATCGTCAGGAGTGGGGTCCCAGTTTTTATTAGGTGCCGGGGCCCGTGGGCGCCCCACTCAAGGGAGGGTTTTTGCGACCGGATGGCCAGTTCCGGTTGCGGAGAGGTTTGTATTCCGCCTCTGCCCACAGCTCCTTGATGCACTGCGAGCGGGACGGTTGGGGGTAGCAAAAGGGTCCCTTTGCCATCATCGCGGGCGCCCCTTCCCGAGCCTTCCTAGAGGAATTCAGAAGGCTGGGCGAGCAAGACCCCGCAGTCACACCGCTGATGCCAAGAGAGACCGAGCACCGGTGGCGGGGGACGCTGGATTGGGAGGAGGAGCGTCGGAAGGAAAGGTGTTCAGAGGATACTCGAGGTCAGGCCCCGGGCTTCCCTCGCTTGCGCTTGGTAGGCCCGAGCTGTTTCCATCAGGGCTGGGGAGTTTTTTTTTTTGTCTGCATGGACGCCCGGTGCCGCCGGGTTGCTGCATTCCCTCGTGTCGAGGCTCATCACGAACTGGAAGGAAAGAGCTTCGGGTGCCACCCCTCCGCCCAAGCCGACCGTGTCCGCATCTTGCCTCGCTCCCGATCGCGGCT